GAAAAAACTGTCTCGGCTGCCAGTCAACAAAACAACTACTAACAGTTTTATTATTTAAATGGTTTATCAAAGACCAACAACAAATTTCAAATACCAATTTCAAACCATATCGACTAAAGAGAATGAGAGTGATATTTTTTTTGCAAAAAAAGAAAAACAAAAAACACTGAAAATCAGTAGAACCAATTTGTTAATAATTAATGATAAGCACATTTTTGTTGTATTGCTATTGGCAGCTCTCTTTATTTTCTAAATCTTATCAGTAGATTTGTATACAATTTGGTTTCAAAATTTTTTCAAGTGTCACATTCAATACCAGCTAGAACACCACTACTGTAGTAAATACTTGATTGTTTTTAACACTTGTACATTTACAATATACATAACATGGAAAAAATTTGTTTATTTTTCAACTTAATTGTTTAAATGTTTATTCTATTTATTAAAAAATATAAAATTATAGCAAAAGTAATATTGCAATTTAGTCAAACCGAATATCCAATAAAACCCTCTAAGATTTTTTACTCTTGCAAATAGAAAATGGAAAATTTTTAGATCTTTTGAGAGATCCAAATATTAAACTAAAATCTCAATAAATTAATCAGTGCTAGTTTTTTAAACGCCATTGTTTGCTTGGTACACATGTAATTTAACGTTTATTGTTGTCAAACATTATTTGCATTGACTGAGAGAGTTCGTTAGAGAGACAGAGAGGTCTTCTACTCCAAATATTCAGTTGAGCACAACTATCTAAATAAGTGCAACAAAATTTTATTTATTAAACAAAATAATTTATTTCATTTTCTACAACTTAACAAAGATTAGTTACTAAAATAAGTATGGGACCAACTGATAAACACGTTTGATTGATTGGCCAAAAAAAACACCTTAATAAATAAAAATGCAGAAATACCACAAAATAAATACAAATATTAGCTCTACACAACTTGGAGCAGGACTATAACAGAACTAGAACAGAACTAGAACAGAACTAGAACAGATCTAGAACAGAACTAGAACAGAACTAGAACAGAACTAGAACCGAACTAGAACCGAACTAGAACAGAACAAGAACAGAACTAGAACAGAACTAGAACAGAACTAGAACAGAACCAGAACAGAACTAGAACAGAACTAGAACAGAACTAGAACAGAACTAGAACTGAACTAGAACAGAACTAGAACAGAATTAGAAACAGAACTAGAACAGAACTAGAACAGAATTAGAACCGAACTAGAACAGAACTAGAACAGAACTAGAACAGAACTAGAACAGAACTAGAACAGAACTAGAACAGAACTAGAACAGAACTAGAACAGAACTAAACAGAACTAGAACAGAACTAAAACAGAACCTAGAACAGAACTAGAACAGAACTAGAACAGAAACTAGAACAGAACTAGAACAGAACTAAACAGAACTAGAACAGACTAGAACAGAACTAGAAACAGAACTAGAAGAACTAGAACAGAATAGAACAGAACTAGAACAGAACTAGAACAGAACTAGAACAGAACTAGAACAGAACTAGAACAGAACTAGAACAGAACTAGAACAGAACTAGAACAGAACTAGAACAGAACTAGAACAGAACTAGAACAGACTAGAACAGAACTAGAACAGAACTAGAACAGAACTAGAACAGAACTAGAACAGAACTAGAACTGAACTAGAACAGAACTAGAACAGAACTAGAACAGAACTAGAACAGAACGAACAGAACTAGAACAGAACTAGAACAGAACTAGAACAGAACTAGAACTGAACTAGAACAGAACTAGAACAGAACTAGAACAGAACTAGAACTGAACTAGAACAGAACTAGAACAGAACTAGAACAGAACTAGAACAGAACTAGAACAGAACTAGAACTGAACTAGACAGAACTAGAACAGAATAGAACAGAACTAGAACAGAACTAGAACAGAATTAGAACAGAACTAGAACAGAACTAGAACAGAACTAGAACAGAACTAGAACTAGAACAGAACTAGAACAGAACTAGAACAGAACTAGAACAGAACTAGAACAGAACTAGAACAGAACTAGAACAGAACTAGAAACAGAACTAGAACAGAACTAGAACAGAACTAGAACAGAACTAGAACAGAACTAGAACAGAACTAGAACAGAACTAGAACAGAACTAGAACAGAAACTAGAAACAGAACTAGAACAGAATTAGAACAGAACTAGAACAGAACTAGAACAGAACTAGAACAGAACTAGAACAGAACTAGAACAGAACTAGAACAGAACTAGAAACAGAACGAGAACAGAACTAAAACAGAACTAGAACAGAACTAGAACAGAACTAGAACAGAACTAGAACAGATTAGATTTAAGCTCAAATTGATTTTAATACAACCAAACAATTAAACAATTTTAAAACACATCAATTTTACAGTACATCATAAATGTTTTAAATAAATTACCGTCTCCTACCTTTGATAAAATTATCTACGTAAAAATATTTTTTCATTCAAAATTTCCTTCAATGATGAAATTTTTGGCAAATAATCGAAAATACATGACATTTAAAGTCTTTATAGTTCCATAATAATTAAGAGTTTTATTATAACAGATAACTTTTTAGTTGTCTACAAATAATATTATCTAAATAGTTGTTGTTATAATAAAATAAAATTAATTTTACAATATAATTTTTTATGAGTATTTGTCTATATAAATAAATCTTAGAAATCATCTTAGATCAAAATTTGTACTTTTTAATACGAAATATATTGGGAGGGGACACGTTTATTTGCAATAGACGCAATTTCGGTATACGAATCGCGAACTTTTATGAAGTGATAGAGTTTTCGACTCAGCAGAAAAATTTAGAGGGTTTGCGTGCCGAAAGATGGAGGACATTTCAGTTCAGTTCTAGTCAGTTCTAGTTCAGTTCTAGTTCAGTCTAGTTCAGTTCTAGTTCAGTTCTAGTTCAGTTCTAGTTCAGTTCTAGTTCAGTTCTAGTTCAGTTCTAGTTCAGTTCTAGTTCAGTTCTAGTTCAGTTCTAGTTCAGTTCTAGTTCAGTTCTAGTTCAGTTCTAGTTCAGTTCTAGTTCAGTTCTAGTTCAGTTCTAGTTCAGTTCTAGTTCAGTTCTAGTTCTTCTAGTTCAGTTCTAGTTCAGTTCTAGTTCAGTTCTAGTTCAGTTCTAGTTCAGTTCTAGTTCAGTTTTAGTTCAGTTTCAGTTCTAGTTTTCTAGTTCAGTTCTAGTTCAGTTTTAGTTCAGTTTTAGTTCAGTTCTAGTTCAGTTCTAGTTCAGTTCTAGTTCAGTTCTATTCAGTTCTAGTTCAGTTCTAGTTCAGTTCTAGTTCAGTTCTAGTTCAGTTCTAGTTCAGTTCTAGTTCAGTTCTAGTTCAGTTCTAGTTCAGTTCTAGTTCAGTTCTAGTTCAGTTCTAGTTCAGTTCTAGTTCAGTTCTAGTTCAGTTCTAGTTCAGTTCTAGTTCAGTTCTAGTTCAGTTCTAGTTCAGTTCTAGTTCAGTTCTAGTTCAGTTCTAGTTCAGTTCTAGTTCAGTTCTAGTTCAGTTCTAGTTCAGTTCTAGTTCAGTTCTAGTTCAGTTCTAGTTCAGTTCTAGTTCAGTTCTAGTTCAGTTCTAGTTCAGTTCTAGTTCAGTTCTAGTTCAGTTCTAGTTCAGGTTCTAGTTCAGTTCTAGTTCTAGTCAGTTCTAGTTCAGTTCTAGTTCAGTTCTAGTTCAGTTCTAGTTCAGTTCTAGTTCAGTTCTAGTTCAGTTCTAGTTCAGTTCTAGTTCAGTTCTAGTTCAGTTCTAGTTCAGTTCTAGTTCAGTTCTAGTTCAGTTCTAGTTCAGTTCTAGTTCAGTTCTAGTTCAGTTCTAGTTCAGTTCTAGTTCAGTTCTAGTTCAGTTCTAGTTCAGTTCTAGTTCAGTTCTAGTTCAGTTCTAGTTCAGTTCTAGTTCAGTTCTAGTTCAGTTCTAGTTCAGTTCTAGTTCAGTTCTAGTTCAGTTCTAGTTCAGTTCTAGTTCAGTTCTAGTTCAGTTCTAGTTCAGTTCTAGTTCAGTTCTAGTTCAGTTTCTAGTTCAGTTCTAGTTCAGTTCTAGTTCAGTTCTAGTTCAGTTCTAGTTCAGTTCTAGTTCAGTTCTAGTTCAGTTCTAGTTCAGTTCTAGTTCAGTTCTAGTTCAGTTCTAGTTCAGTTCTAGTTCAGTTCTAGTTCAGTTCTAGTTCAGTTCTAGTTTTCAGTTCTAGTTCAGTTCTAGTTCAGTTCTAGTTCAGTTCTAGTTCAGTTCTAGTTCAGTTCTAGTTGTTCTAGTTCAGTTCTAGTTCAGTTCTAGTTCAGTTCTAGTTTCAGTTCTTCTAGTTCAGTTCTAGTTCAGTTCTAGTTCAGTTCTAGTTCAGTTCGTTCAGTTCTAGTTCAGTTCTAGTTCAGTTCTAGTTCATTTCTAGTTCAGTTCTAGTTCAGTTCTAGTTCAGTTCTAGTTCTGTTCTAGTTCAGTTCTAGTTCAGTTCTAGTTCAGTTCTAGTTCTAGTTCTAGTTCTAGTTCGTCTAGTTCAGTCTAGTTCAGTTCTAGTTCAGTTCTTGTTCTGTTCTAGTTCAGTTCTAGTTCAGTTCTAGTTCAGTTCTAGTTCAGTTCTGGTTCAGTTCTAGTTCAGTTCTAGTCCATTCTAGTCCATTCTAGTTCAGTACTAGTTCAGTACTAGTTCGGTTCTAGTTCAGTTTAAGATCTAGTCCATTTATAGTTAAGCTCTAATAAAGTTCTTATTGCGCTCTACTTATTCAATATTATTCAGAATTATTTTTACGACTTTAAAATTCCCAAAAAGCAACAGTTTGCTTCGAATAAATAAACTCCACATAAAATTAAATAAACAAAAAATGTGCAATCGATAAGATTACACAAATTCTACAAATAATTATCAATAACTACTGATTATTGTTGCTGCAACATGTTGATAAATAAAGGAAATGTTGCAAAACATATTTATTTAATTTTTTTTTCTCAAAATAAGTGTAAAAGATAAGAAAAGTAAATACTTATAAAAGGTTCGATATTTATTTTTAACACTTTACTAAAAATACAAGAAATTATTTCATTAAAAAACAAAAGACCTTGTCACTCAAACACCCCTGACATTTATATCGGTTTTCTTGGAATGGCTTTGAGCAAAAATTGCACGAATAACTTTCAACGTATAATCGGGTACCAAACAAGCAGCAGCGGTTACTATAGTAAATAACCAGGCCGGTAGGGAGCAGAATAAACGATTATAAGCATGGAATAAACCGGGATTATTGGGACTGGAAAATATTTGTATTTTATATAATGGAAAAATGTATCATTTTATTTAATTCTACTTACAAATCTATAAAATTATAAATCACGGTACTGACAATGAATCCTAGGAACGAGGCCACTATGATGATTATATAAACATAACTCAGATAGTTTGATTCCAGTAGTAATTTCAAATTACCGACTACAACTACCAATTGTATTAAGAGTGAACCAAATATATAAAATTCAGCAGTTTGTCCATTATTTAGTATGACATTATTGAGGGTTAAGAAGAAATAGGCAAAATAAAAGACAATTATCGAATGAAAAGCTCCATTGAGAATCCATCGTAAAAATACGGACCAGCGTACTTGACGATTTTGACAGTTTTTCTTGTAGAGTTCAGGCTTGCTGGAAGGAAGGAAATAATTCAATAAATATTAAATCTATCAGTGTATCAGTGACTGAAAGTAGTTATTAAACGGGGTTTCAATACTATCAGCTAGAATTACAAATCTTTCCAACTTACCTCAACAACAACTCTTCCGTATATGGTTTCTCACTTATGGCCAAGAAAGTAAAACTAAAGGAAATATAAATCACATCAAACAGCCACAAATATAAGAAGTGATAAACCGATGTTGATGAATACAAATCATACAACTGGAACATTACCATAATTCCGGTAATCAAAATATTCTTATAGCAATAGAATAAAACCAAAAACGATAAACGGGCTGTATTATAATGGCCGTGAACTAGCAGTAAACGTTTGCAACATAAAAAATTTCGCTATAGAAAAATCGGAACATCTAGCAGCCTGTAAACCCTCTTTGCCCATAATACCTATACCCACATCGGCCTCTTGAATCATGGACACATCATTGGCACCATCGCCTACGGCAGCGGTTAAGTAACCTTTTTCTTTCTTAATTAAAGAGACTACTTCGGATTTTTGTAGAGGACTTAGACGGCAACATAAAACCGCCGAACATTTTAAAGCCATTTCCCGGAATACATTGGGGGCTTGCTTTAAAGCCACAGACAAACTATTACCATCCATTATTAAGGCTATATTGGATTTATCTTTTATATTCTCCAATGAATTTAGAAATTCCTGTTTGGTTTGACACTCTAACATAGAGTACCTATATGAATCGGGGGTTATGTGACCACAAGCTAAAGCTATGTTGACAGCAGTTTCAACTTTATCTCCGGTTAAAACCCATATTTTAATACCAGCCTTTTGTAGAGACCACAATGTTTCAGTTACTTGATACTGCAGGGCATCCTCTACTTGCAGTGGCTCCTAGTAACTCAAGATCTATTCACAAAAGTCAAACATTTAAAGATCTTAAAGCGATTATTTTATTTTTATACCCACCATCAAAAAAGATGGGGGGTATATTGATTTGTCATTCCGTTTGTAACACACTCGAAATATTGGTCATAGACCCACAAAAGTATATATATTCTTGGTCCTCATTAAATTCTAACACGATCTAAGCCATGTCTGTCCGTCCGTCTGTCTGTCTGTCTGTCCGTCTGTTGAAAGCACGATAGAGTCCGAATGGAAAGAGCTAGAGGATTTGAAGTTTCACATAAATATTTCTTATAGGTAAGGTTTGTTTGGTATTGAAAATGGGCAATATCGGTCCTCGTTTTCGGATAGCCCCCATACAAGTGGCACCTCGAAAATCAGCTTTAAACAGCCATAACTTGTTTAAAAATACGAATATAGCGATGAAATTCGACATAAGTAAGTTTCTAATGATCCAAAATCACTATGCAAAATTTTATGAGGATCGGTAAATAATTGACCCTACCCTCATATAAGGTCCCCCTTCAAAAAATGACTTTATCGCTCATTACTGGCTTAAAAATACTAGTATATAGATGAAATTCGACATAAGTAAGTTTCATATGAGTCAAAATCTATCTAAAAACTTTTATGAGGATCGACCCATAATTGACCCTACCCCCCTATATAAGGTCCCCTTCAGAAAATTACTTTAACGCTTATAACTGGCCTAAAAATACGAGTATATAGATGAAATTCGACATAAGTAAGTTTCATTCGAGTCAAACGAGGTTTGATGGTGGGTATATACGATTCGGCATAGCCGAATATAACACTCTTACTTGTTCATCCCTATACCTACCACATTCTATAGTTTTATAACAATTGTCCATTAACTCTTTCCTCTTATCGAAAGCCAGCTGTGCCTGCCTTAGATCATTAATAAATTCTTCATATTCCTCCTCGGGTATAAATCTTTAGCTATAGCTAATGTTCTTAAACCCTGTAGGGCGAATTCTGTTATATGTTGATCGGTTATTGAAATTAAATCCTTTGACTTTTCTCACACAACTCAAAGATCACATTTTCAGCTCCTTTTGTATATAACCATTTACGCTCCATTCCATCCGATATTATAACACTCATACGTTTACGTTCCGAAGTAAATTCAAAAGTGTGTAGACGTTTGAACTCTACAATTTCGGAATTTTCGGGGTCTTTAGAACTTAAAATGTTTAATTTGATAAGATCATTATCATCGTCTAGATAATGAAGTCCTAAATTGTAACATGCTTCCAAAAGTGCTTTTTTCATCGGGACTTGAGGCCTGATATGGGGCTGCTTGTATGACTGGTACTATTGTCGTCTATTTCACTGGGAGTTTGTGCAATTTGTACGGTATGACAAAGTCCAAGAGCTTTGAAGAATTCCAATTGAGGGTTCTACAAATAATATAAAGATGTCGTATTAGAATGCATATAATTAATGCTCGGTTAGAGACTGTTAGATCAACTGGATCATTTGTGAACGTTATAAGCAATCTTTACTGAATGACAAAATTTAGACCTTATAGTTTTTTCAAGTCTGTGAATCCTTTTCTTACAAACCTAATGAATGGATGTGAAATTATCATCCAAAGTGAAAGTAGTTTTCCGAAACTCTAAGATCCTTCTGAAATGGAAGGAGTTCTATTATTTCTCAAATCAAAACGGATAATATTCTAAAAAAGATAATGATTTGCAGATCTTTCTCTCCTCTCACGTTTATATTAGATCATTTCTCTAATCAGTTAACCCAATTGTCTTATTCTTTATTATACGGAATTAGAAAAAGGCTCCACATTTCTCATTATCATTAAACTGACTTGGTCCAAAGGGACTAACGATATCTATGTTTGAATTTAAAAAAATTCAACTTTTGCAATCTATCCCAGTTCTAATTCTGATATCCTTTATTTATTATATTCAGATCGTGCATCTTCGTTTAAAGCCTCATTCATCTTATACAATTCCCTTATTCTCAATCTATCAGAATCGAACTGACATGAAATTTCAGACAGAGACCCTTTAGTAATCCGTAACAGAGGGTATAACATAACGCTTGTGCTAACCCTGCGAGAAGCTGATCTTTCGTACAGATTGAGTTAAAGAATATTTTTCCCCATTTTCTAATCCGTTCATACTCACATCATCTGATACATCCATTTCCCAACGGACAGCCGTTTCTTGATCTACCAAATAACCATTACGATACATGTATTTTCTACCATCTATGGAACACTGCTGGAAAACCATTTCATTCTTTGTCAAAGTGCCCGTCTTATCCGAAAATAAAATATTTATTTGACCTAAATCTTCATTTAAATTTGAAGAATTAACCACAGCTCTCTGATCAGTTTCGGCATCATATAATTGCAAATCCTGCTGTATAAAGAAGGCATTGAATATTCGATAAAGTTCAATATTCATATACATCGATATAGGAACCATATAGTTGAAAAGTATCAGAAATGCCAAGAAATCTTCAATTATAGTGATTTCATTAACACGTATAGGAGGACCCAGATAATCCATTAGGGGAACTACATTAATTTCTTCATATCTGAAATTAATAGACATATTAGATGGAAGTTATAATAGGTTTGAAATATTTTTTTACCTCCCCAACATATACAAGATGATACAAGCCACTATCATTATAACCACCAAAAATATTAGAAATTTATTAATATAAATCTCACTGGAGGCAGATTTATTACCGGTATAACGGCTATTCAATTGTAATTTTGTGGACATGCCCGTGTAAACAGCACAGCCTATAACTTTATCGGTATTTTTTATTTTCGAGCCTCTGAGTAAAAGATTTTCCTCAGATAAGGGTATTACCGAATTACTTGCATTTAACTCAATTTTACCCAAAAATGAATAAAGATCGGCTTTGGGACTTTCACATTCTATTATACCAACATTATTAATATGGTCTATACTATTTGTCAGAAGACCTCTGGGTACCATTAAAGTTTTCAAATTAGTTTCACCATCTAAATTGGCAGTGGTTACATGACATTTGCCATTAACATCGGTGGAATGTAATAAAACCACATCACAGGGTACATCACCATCTTTGCTGATAACAACTAAATCACCCGGACATATAAAACGAGATTCTATATATTGCTCTTGACCATTACGATATACCGTCACCGTGGAATAATTCACCAAATTATCATTTTTATAACGTTGAAAATCATCATAGGCTTCTTTAGCTCCGGTAACAATCATTACAAATAGTAGAGGTATTAAGGAGACCAAAGGTGAAATAGTACTGTCTGAGAGGATAGAGGACAAAATTTTATATAAGGAATTGTTTATGTATATGATTTTAATTACTCACTTACGAAAAATGATATTATAGTAACCGCTAGAAAATAGAAATACACGGCTCTTCGGAATTGATCATAGAAATTTATGGGCAGGAATGTTAACAGAGTATATTTGGTAGTTTTGATGCGATTTAATTGTGGCGATTTCTTTTTACTTTTGTTGTCATTACTTCCGATTGTAATGCGAAGATTTTCGCTACTTTTACTGCTGCTGGAACCCTGAAATGAAACAACAAATTATACAAAATTCGATGCTTGATTTTTTCTATATACAAATAACATACCATTATTAATTATTAAAATTTTTTTATATTCCCGAAAACCTTTCACTTTGCACTTAATAATTTATAGCATTTTATCCGTTAAGCTTGCGTTTAGTAGTATTAACCAGTTCAATACAAAGTTAAATACTATTTATTTTTATGGTCTTCCTACTGTAAAATGGTCTCAAAATTTACGATAATGTTGGACATACTAATTGGGGGGCAATTGATAACGATAACACTTTTAATCGAAAATAAAGTAAGGTGCATATTTGTATTTAAAAGTAGATTAAAGATTAGGAATAGCCATTGTTATGCTAATTAAGAAGGCACTACGGAAAGATATGATATGAAAAATAAAGGAAATAATAATTTGTGAGTTAGTTAGTTAGTTAGTCAGTCAGTCAGTCAGTTAGTTAGTTAGTTAGTTAGTTAGTTAGTTAGTTAGTTTAGTTAGTTAGTTAGTTAGTTAGTTAGTTAGTAGTTAGTTAGTTAGTTAGTTAGTTAGTTAGTTAGTTAGTTAGTAGTTAGTTAGTTAGTTAGTTAGTTAGTTAGTTAGTTAGTTAGTTAGTTAGTTAGTTAGTTGTTAGTTAGTTCTTGTTAGTTAGTAGTTAGTTAGTTAGTTAGTTCGTTAGTTAGTTAGTTAGTTAGTTAGTTTAGTTAGTTAGTTAGTTAGTAGTTCGTTAGTTATTGTTCGTTCGTTTCGTTTTTTTTTCGTTCGTTCGTTCGTTCGTTCGTTCGTTCGTTCGTTCGTTCGTTCGTTCGTTCGTTCGTTCTTTCGTTCGTTCGTTCGTTCGTTTCGTTCGTTCTTCGTTCGTTCGTTCGTTCGTTCGTTTTCGTTCGTTCGTTCGTTCGTTCGTTTCGTTCGTTCGTTCGTTCGTTCGTTCTTCTTCGTTCGTTCTTCGTTTCGTTCGTTCGTTCGTTCGTTCTCGTTCTTTCGTTTTCGTTCGTTCTTTTCGTTCGTTCGTTTCGTTCTTTCGTTCGTTCGTTCGTTCGTTCGTTCGTTTCGTTCGTTCGTTCGTTCGTTCGTTCGTTCGTTCTTTCGTTTCGTTCTTCGTTCGTTCGTTCGTTCGTTCGTTCGTTCGTTCGTTCGTTCGTTTGTTCGTTCGTTCGTTCGTTTCGTTCGTTCTTCGTTCGTTCGTTTCGTTCGTTCGTTCGTTCGTTCGTTTCGTTTCTTTCGTTCGTTCGTTCGTTCGTTCGTTCTTCGTTCGTTCGTTCGTTCGTTCGTTCGTTCGTTCGTTCGTTCGTTCGTTTCGTTCGTTCGTTCGTTCGTTTCGTTCGTTCGTTCTTCTTCCCGTTTCTTCCTGTTCTGTTCTCGTTCTCTTCTCCTTCCCTCTGTTCTGTTGTCGTTCTGTTTTCGTTCTTTCTCGTTCTGTTCTCGTTCTGTTCTCGTTCTGTTCTCCTTCTGTTCTCTTTCTGTTCTCTTTCTCTTCTCTCTGTTCTAGTTCTGTTCTCTTTCTGTTTCTGTTTGTTCTGTTCTTTCTTTCTTTCTTTTCTGTTTTCTTCTCTTTTATTTCTTTTCTGTTTCGTTTTCTTTCTCTTCTCTTTCTATTCTCTTCTTTTCTCTTTCTTTTCTGTTCTCTTCTAGTTCTTTCCGTTCTGTTCTAGTTCTGTTCCAGTTCTGTTCTTCTAGTTCGTTCTAATTCTGTTCTAGTTCTGTTCTAGTTAGTTCTAGTTAGTTCTAGTTCTGTTCTAGTTCTGTTTTAGTTTTGTTCTAATTCTGTTCTAGTTGTTGTAGTACTGTTCGAGTTTTGTTGTAGTACTGTTCGAGTTCAGTTCTAGTTCAGTTCTAGTTCAGTTCTAGTTCAGTTCTAGTT